TCTTTGTCTTTTCAAAAGTTTTGTATTTTAGAAGTGTGCAGAAACTCACTAGTAGTTTTTGCTGAAAGAATGAAACATTACACGAAAGTAGGTACAAATACTGTCCTATGCAACTACAGTATCTATTTTTTAAGCAACAAACCTCCCGTTCAAATATTTACTGAACAGCATTCTATATACCAACCAGATTCTTTATACTGACCCAAGACTATATAAATATATTACTAAAATACAATAACAAACATTTTTAAACAGGTTTTGATTTAACAGCTTAGCAATTAGGAAAACACTAACTCAGATAAATGTAAGAATCTGACAATAGCACAAGCCCTCATTTTTAATATTTCTTTAAGTTTTCGGGAACTTTTTATGTTTCAAACCTTTAGAGTATCCTAATGTGTAGGTTAAATGAGCAAGACTTTAAAACATATTTTTACTTTACTCATGAACAATTATAAGTTTAATGATCACTGTTCATGAATGAACGCCATAATTCTAAGAACTTACAAGCGAAAGAAAAGAATTCTATGCAATGAAATTACTTCTGCTGTATCCAGAGTCAATGAGTAATTTTGCCCAATACCAGGATTCACCATGCCATCAGGAATACGACAGACATAGCAGAGATCTAGGCTCTATATCATCAATTTCATGAACAACAATAACTTTCACAGTATGAATTGTAATTATTATAAATTTTATTTAAATCACAATTAAGGTAAGGATCAATAACACAATTTTATTTATTTATTTATTACTTTTAATACTGCTTACTTATTATTATTTTGACATAACCATAGTATCATTCAGAAGAATTGGTAAATCAGAAACTAGTCTTTTCCGTTCCCAGGATGGGTAAAGTAACCATAACATCAATGGAAGAAAAATGCATTAGTAATTCTAATAATTTATGATTGAAAGCAAAGAAGAAATACCTAATAATATAAGATCAATGTACTTTTGTAGCTCAAGCAAACAGTTAATTTATGAATAAATGTTTTAATTAATTTGCCTAAATAAATACAATGTCTTATTTTGACTTTTGAAATGGACTAGAAAAGTATAGCACAATTTCCAACTTCTTTCCATAGATTATTTATTTATTTAAACAGGAAAGCAGAATCACAAAAATCTTGAGTTTATTTGGCTCATTCTATATTTTTTAAATACAATTAATTAACATAAAATTAAATAAATTTCCACTCAACTGTTAAAAAAAAAAGGAGAATGAAATGAATCAAAATAAGGCATATCTTCTTTTCATAAGGAAGCAATGGTGTATTAATAAATGTGATGATTTGTGTCCAAACTGGAAATGATCATTATAATTTGTAGTAGGTAACAGAATTTTCTTTTCTTTAAATAACATTTGATTTTCGATAGAAATTGTCATTTGTATGTTAAAATTTTTGGTGCACATTGTCCATGTGAGTCTTATTCTTTTCTTTAAACAACGTTTGGTATTCAAGAGAAATTGTCATTTGCCCATTAATAATTTTGGTGCACATTGTCCATGTGAGTCTTATTCTTTTCTTTAAATAACATTTGGTATTCGAGAGAAATTGTCATTTGTCTGTTAATATTTTTGGTGCACAATGTCCATGTATGTCTGTGAGATTTCTTCAACTTTGTACACCATATAAAAATATGGCATAGACATCTACATAATGTTTCTCATTAAATTTACTTTAGTCTAAAATTCAAAACCTGATTGGTCTACATATTTCATGTTATATTTTAAAACAAATGTTCAACAAATATTCACAGGGTGAAAATAAAGTTATTATAAACTCTGAAATTGGGGTAAAAATGGATTATTTTTTTGAAAACTATAAATAAAATTCAGTATATTAGACATGTAGTTGTTTTAATAACAGTAGCAGTACTGAGAAACTTTTACTTATATAATCACAGAAAATACAAAATTACAATTAGTGAGATGTATCATACTCTTCTTGTTGAGATTTGTATTTAACAAATTAAGATTTTAAGATCTCTACTTTTTTTTTAGTTTTATAATGTTTAAACACAAGTGCATCCCTCACCAATATGTGTCTATTACAATTTAAGTCTAATTCTTTAGTGTTGATTGAGTGATACATATAACGGGTATATGATAAAATCATCTGTGGCATCTAATAGCAAACTATACACATTTTTTTTATTGGTCTTAAAAATATATTATAATCACATGTGTAATGAGCATGTATATATGTCAGTTGCTAAAACATCCTGGCAATTTGTCTTTGCCAAGTTCCTTGGTTTATGAAATATATAAACAAAAAGACAAATCAGGCCATATCTACTTGATCTTCTTCTATTATACATAATACACTGATTAACTGTAATTAAGAACAACACAAATACACTTCAATTCTTTTTATTGAGTCATCTGTTAATTAGGACAGAGTTTAGGTTTAGGTCAGGAAGTGAATTTATGACACGTGTGTCAAAGTGAGGCTATTTGCTCTGGCACATTGTAGTTGCATATTTGTTTCAGGGGTAAAAAAAGAAACAACACACAAGCCTAAAACAGTGGTCAGGGCATTAATACGGTTAACGTTTAGAAAATTAAGTAAATGTTTCAACAAAAACATCCAAAAGAAATAAGTTTCCATTTCTGAAACAAATTGCAAATAAATAAAAACAAACATTGCTCGAAAATATAATTATTACTTTAAAATTGTGAATGCTTCAGCTTCAGCAACAATAAACTGTAACTTGCTGATGATGTACTTAAAGAGTATTGTTTCAAATAATGTAAATCATTTCACAAAGTCCAACAGGGCACAGACAATGTACAACGTAACCTCAAATCAAAGGCTCATAACATATTTCCATTCTGCCTTAAGCTTCCAGAAACTCAACACTGCTGCTTCATTTTCTTTTTTTTTTAGCCTCAACTTCGTATAGTTACAACGTATATATATACAACCATGGATTCATTTATAAAAAAGAAAGATA